GGGGGGGGGGGGGTTCTTTTCCCTGTCCTGACATTTTATACAGTATACTCAAATTAGATATTTGCTTTTAAAGATGGCAGGTATATTACAAAAAGTAATTAATCTACAAATCTTGATCCATATGGATTGTCTAGGATTGGGGAGCCCACTCTTGCATACTCCTTACTCTGGATTAGAGAGTTTGGAAACCTTGAGAGTCCTGGTTCTAATTGAGGCAGGTGACTACCATGGACTTAATAATGGCAGCCTGTGGTTGTGAGTGCACAAACAGATTCTTTGTCATGCACAGTGCAAGTAACATCCAATACTGTTTGGCACTGTCACATTGACCAATTAGAAATCTGTAACTGTGTTACTGAAATGTGCGTGGAATAACAGCAAAGTATCATCTAAGGTAAAGACACAAATCTATGAGACTTGTGCATTGTCATCCCTGCTTTAAGGTTCAGATATGTGGAGTATATATGCTAGGCATATCAGGAGACTGAACAGCTTCCCGATGATATGTCTGCATAAGACCCTGAAAATGAAGTGGGAAGACAGAATATCAAACACAGTGGTGCTGAGGCACGACTGACACACTTAGAAACCACTATCAAGAAGAGGAGGTTATGATGGATTGGCCATGTTAGGAGAATGGGAGAAGACTGTATTTCCTAAGACTATTTTGTATAATGAGATTTAAAGCAGCTCTAGAAAGTTGAGTGACTTTCTATGGTGGTACCACAATGCATACAAAAATGATATGGAGCCATTCAACATCAGTGTAGAAAGCTGGGAGAAATGTGCAAAATCCTATCTGACCTGGAGGGAATATTTGGCACTGGGTACAGCTCAATATAAAGCAGCTTTAATCCACAATATGAAAGCAAAGCGAGAAAGAACAAAGCAGTGTGCTGTAAATTTGGACTCCAAATCAGACAACGTATAGATCTGTGAAACTTGTGACAAGCCTTGTCAATCTCAAATTCGGCTTGTCATCCACAAATGGATTCACTGGGTGCATCTCTTTGTGCAATTAATTTGAATCAATAAACTCCAGAGCAGTTTGAGCTGGAGTAAATTACTCCTGGGTGCACCACCTATACTTGCACTGAGGACAGATCAATTTGAGCAGGGGTGAAGCAGTTCATTCCAGGGCCACTCCTGTCCTGCTCTCTCCTGGGCTCTGGGTGGCAATGTCAGGAGGAGGAGGGGTTGGCTACAGCACAAGGGTGCTGAAAGTGTGGAGCTGTGTGGCTAGGAGGCAGCAGGATTCTAGGCCTTTCAGTCTGGGCTGACCAGTTTTAATGTACGGCTGTGGTCAGTGTCTACATGTGTTTAATTGCAGTTAATTACCCTACTGTAAAATAATACTGTCCTCAACAGTACTACTTTACGGTGACTTTTTAGTTTACTGTGGCCTAATAGCGTTCCACATGTAGACAGTGATACTTTATTCCACAGCTAATTAGTCTACTCTGAAGTTGAGTGTACATGTAGACACAGCCATTAGGCATTTGATTAGACCTCTTATGTGTACACTATGATCCAGAGGGTTGACAGTTGCACATTGGGCAATGTGACTAATTGTAGAGCAGAGTCTGGCATCCCTGAGTATTCCAAGTGCCAGAACTCCTACCTCAACTCTGGCTCTCAGGGTTTCCATGCTCTGTGCCCATATAATAGAGCCAATAGGGAGCCTAGGGCCATGGCTAATCTGGGAGTTTGAGCTTCCATGTTCTGACTAATTTTGAAACTTTGGTCTCAAAATGTTTGGATTAATCCTAGCTGAGTGAAGTGACAGGGGAGAAATTCTTGTTTGCCTTTTCATGGAAAAAATTTTAAATTATGATTTTTATTTCTAAAGCATAATATTAGCTTCATGCTAAGCCAGGGGTGGGCAATTATTTTGGGTGGAGGGACACTTACCGAGTTTTGGCAAGCTGTCAAGGGCCACTGGCTCCCCACCTCTCCCTGCTGGCACAGCCCAGCCCAGCCCAGCCCAGCCCAGCCCAGCTCCTTAGAGCCCCTGCC